AGTTTTTATTTTAGAGTTTTTTATTATAGGTAAGTAGGCTGTACATTCAATTAAATGCTAAATTAGCTAATTTCATTCTTATGCTATCTTTTTATTTAATTTTGCTCACTACTTTGCTTTAATTGACTTTTTATTTCTTGCTTAATTATATTCATTTAAAAAGATACAAAAGCTAGGGTTTAAAACTTTGCTTCTCATGTAATATTTCTGCCATTCTTAAAAATTGTGTGTATACGTATGTGTCTGTGTAGGTATATGCATGCATGCATATAATGTGTGTACATATACGTATATGCATTATATATCGGGAGCCCTCATAGTGCAGGGGTTAAGCACTCATCTACTGATTGAAAGGCTGGCAGTTCAAACCCTAAAAGGGCATCTGGAGGAGGAAACCCCTTGCGATCTGTTCCCATGCAGATTGACAGCTTAGGGGAACTTCTGGGGCAGTTGAGCTCTGTCCTACAGGGTCATTGTGAGTCACAATCCACTGTATGGCACACTCACTAACGTGCACTGCCCTCGAGTCCATTGCCACATCCTGGCGGCTCTACAGGACAGAGTAGAGTAATGGCTCTGTGGGTTTCCAGCCTGGAAATCTCTATGCGATCTATCCGTTTCTGAACGTTGTGTATCCATCTCTTTAACATTTTTATCCTGAAGAGTTCTGCACTCTGATTTAGACCAGGTAATGGTGTAATGGAATGAAAATGCTGTCTTAGCATTTTCAAAGGATTCAAATCATGTTCCTTTTAAATTCTCCTTGGGTTTCGGGCAGAAACGAAAACTGAAATTCCAAAATGAGTGCTGTAGAGTGGATGGGGGAAGATTTTGTAATGAAATCCTTGTATGACAGTTATTGACCCACTCAAAAATTCACCAGCGCTTCGCTAATTACATAATCTGTTGTCAGTTTGAGATATAAGAGTAAAGGGGTGGAGTTTAGCCTGTCAATCAGGTTGCAGCTTGATGACCTCAATTGGTGGTACTAAGGAGATAACTAGCTCGCTGGAGGTGGGACCCATGCACACTCCCTGCCAGACATTCCTGTTGAGAAGACACATGAAACTACGCTAGAGCCCTGGAGCTGAAGGAGCCACATGGAGACCCCTGAGATACTTCCACTGCCACTAGATCCACAAGACATTCCACCCACTGGCCTGTGATCTTCCTGTATTCAATATTATTGCGTGTGTTGCATGAATTTGAAGAGGCACTTATAGATTGGTATTGGACATAAGGGTTAATATCGGACTTATGGACTTGATCTTGATTGGGCTGGGATGTTTACTCAATATTCAATTGTTCTTTTATATAAAACTATCTCTCATACACACATGAATGTCTCTGAATTTGTTTCTCTAGTCAACCCAGACTAACACAGATGCATTGTTGTGATGACCACAAAACAAAACAAAAAATCCGTGGGGCAATTTTTCTGGGCTTTCAACACCACAGCTTTCAATGTTTAATAGACTTATCTTTAAAAGAATTATCTTTATAAAAATCTCATGATCATCTGTGTCTTTCAAGAAAACCTAACAAGATAACTTCTTTGGAATGCCACGTAATAATAATCCCCTTAACTTTCTGAGCCGATGTGGTAGTCACCTAATCTGGTGTCAGTTTAAAGATTAAGAGTATAGAGGTGGAGTCTAGGTTGTCAATCTGGAGGTAGCCAATGAGACTCTGTGTGGGCGTGGCCTCCTGAGAATTCTGGGAAATCTTGTACTTTCCTCCTTGGAGGCAGGAGAGACTCTATCTCTGCTCAATCCCTTGGAGACTCTCTACTGACAAGGTTGACTTCCTGCGAGACATCCCTGAGGAGATGTCACATGGACCTACCCCATGAAGCCCTGGGAACTGGAACGCCCACGTGGAGACCCCTGCCAGCGCTGAGCTGCTACAACCACCACTGACTTTGCACCCACTGGCCTGTGATCGTTCTGCATTTGGCATCATTGCTTGTGTTTCGTGAGTCTGAAGAGGACTTTATGGATTGCTGTTGGATATGTGGGCTAATATCGGATTTATGACCTTGGACTGGACTGGGTTGGGATGTTTTCTCAATGTTCAATTGCTCTTATGAATAAATCTCTTTATTACATACATATGTGTGTCCATGGATTTGTTTCTCTAGTCTACCCAGACTAACACAGCTGACTCCACTGCCTTGAATTTGAGTGACCCAGCAGATCCCGTCAGAAGTCACTCTTTGGATGGTACAATTTTTCTAAGGCACCCAGTGGAGAGGAGAGGCAGAGTTTGTGGAGAATACTCACCTTCAGTTATGTCCTGATCTCAGACACTTGTTTAAACATGTTCTGTTTGGAATAAACCCACGCACATATGAACTGGAACGCTAGTAGCAATACTATTTGACTTATCCCAGTACATAAAAATACATTTTCAAGGGGGCTTCGAATAGTTCATAGAAAGATGAAATGAAAAGATAATAGAAAAATGTCCACAATTTTTATTTCTTGTTAACCCTCTGGAGGTGTGTGTGTGCGTATATGATATATATGTATTAGAGAAAGAGGGGAGGGGGCGGGTGAGCGGAGAAGGGAGTTGTAATTTTCCTCTATTAAAATTCTCTCCAATTTCCAACATACTACTGAAAATATTTTTCTCTAGTAACTGTCATGCTTAATCCTTAACTTCTATGTTTTTAAAATGGACATGGTTAACTGAATCTGAGAGATCATACCACCTACAAAATGAAAGTGTCTACAGGGCTATATCGTTAGATCCAAAATAGCACATTCATGAAACTGCCTTTCATTATGGGACGTAGAAAGGACAAATGGAATCTACCAACTCCAGTAGTATAAAGATAAAACTCAAAAAGGAATTACTCAGTGAGTTTTGATCTGCTCTATTTTTTTAATCATTTTATTGTGGGCTCATACAACTTATCACAATCCATACATACA